ACAAAGGCTCTCCCTTATGATGACCGCTACCCCCCCGCCCCTACCCCGGGTCCTCGGCCGATGAAATGCCTGAAAACCCGGCGGGCAGATGTCAACTAGAGGTATTCCTCCTTCCACGCCTAGCCAGGTCTCAGTAATACCTGCCAGGTCCGCACCCCCCTCTAAAATAAGGTCTTGTATGAGGGGGGCCTTATTAATAGCACAATGGGTTAAATTTCTGCCTTTCAAAACAGTGGAAATTCTGGAAGGGAGGGTTATAAATTCAGGAACAAAGTTGAAAGACAATGAGTGAGGAATGATTGGCTGTCATTCTCAGAATTTGGCCACTATGACCGAAGGGCCTACAAATTCAACATCATTGTATTTGTGGATGATGATGTGCAAGAACTGTGGGTTTGGTTTAAGGCTGCCAGGAATATTGTAATTTACAGAGAGAATTCACATCTCTATGGCAGAGCAAAACATTCCAAGTGGAACAGAAGAATTCAAGTAGCTAGAGGCTAACATTTCCTTTTAAGGAGCTCCTAAATGAAATACAGATTTTAAAACACTTTTGTAGGCCACTTTGTATGTCTCCCAAATTATAGACCCTAGCTAGCTTGTACTTATGAAATAAGAGCTGTGGTGACGCAATGGTTAGAATGCAGTACTGCAGGCTAATTCTATTGACTGCCAGCTTCCAGCAATTTGGCAGTTCGAGTCTCACCGCCTCAAGGTTGACTCAGCCTTCTGTCCTTCTGAGGTCGGTAAAATGAGGACCCAGATTGTTGGGGGCAATATGCTGGATCTGCTTAGAGAGGGCTGTAAAGCACTGTGAAGTGGTATATAAATCTAAGGGCTATTGCTATTGCTATGAAATCATCCATTATGAATGGAACCTGAGGCCTTAGTTACCTTTATTGAATGTTTTGTGGTTCTAATAGATACAAGGAAGACATCTACTTTGAAGGCCTCCATCCTTGAGGTTTAGTTCTGTTATCTTCTCAGGACTTTTTCTGAATTGGATGAGATCCTCCTTGGTGAGTGAAATGCAGCTCTGATCCGGCGACGGCTTCGTCGTTTCGCAGAGTAGGTCTTCACCTTTCTACAATGGGCTTTTGGCTTTGCAAGGAGGTTGTCCTTGTAGTATGGGCTGACTTGCACTTTTACTGGAGGAGGAAGCCCTCTCTTTGAAGGTCTGCATCTTTTAGGAGCTCTTTCGTCGAGAGAACTTTGGGCTGTCTTAAAAATAGATGCAGCCGTATTCTTGCAGTTTCTGCTGGATCTCCTTAAAACAGAAGCAGATCCCTGATTGGAGTCGTGTGATTCTCGAGAAGTAGAATTACTTTTGCTACCAGCAGAACTTGATTTTTTGGCAGCAGAAAGGGCTCGTGGACAGAGATTTGGTGTTCTTTCAACAGATTTGCTTTGGCTGATGGATCGCCTTGAGGGCTTTTGTCCTGCCTTTAATTTCTGATGGGATCTCTTGGGCTTTCTTCTAATTTTTCCAGCCTTCCAGCTCAAACTCTTTGCTTCTTCAGTTTTTCCCTTTGCCTTTTCGGAAGCAGGCATCCCTGCCTTCTTTATCCTTGCGGCTTTCTCCAAGTTTCTGGATATTTTGGTGATCTTTTCCTGGTACTTCCTGACTACAAAAAAACTTGAGCCATTGCCACTTGTCATACGCACCAGGGCACCTTTAGACACCAAGGACTGTAGCTTCCTCTTGATTCTAGGATAGTGCCTCCTCANTTTGCCTTTTCGGAAGCAGGCATCCCTGCCTTCTTTATCCTTGCGGCTTTCTCCAAGTTTCTGGATATTTTGGTGATCTTTTCCTGGTACTTCCTGACTACAAAAAAACTTGAGCCATTGCCACTTGTCATACGCACCAGGGCACCTTTAGACACCAAGGACTGTAGCTTCCTCTTGATTCTAGGATAGTGCCTCCTCACGTCGTATCCCTTTGTGCCGAGCACTTCCTTCAGCTCTGCAAAAGTGAGGCCATTGTGTGACTTACAGGATGCAATTGCTTCAATAATAAGCCCTGAGATGCAGGGCAGGGAATCCATACATTTCCAAGGAATCAAGCTTTTTTTATTTTGCACTGAGTTTGCTACCATCAGAGTCTTTGTGGTGAAATTAGCAGCTTCTTTCTTTCTTTGACCGGATTCCTTTCTTCTAGGAACTGGTGCCTGCATTCCTATGGGCATCATGTCCTCCTGGGTCATCATCTTTCTCATGGGACTTGTGCCTGTCAGCCTGCCAGTTACTCTGTGCCAAGCCTCTGCTGAGACAGAATCTTGTACTTAGTGCCTTAACTATACGTCTAGCAAAATCTGACACAATGGAAGTACTCCATCTGGCTTCTGTTCCTAGCAACCAATCACAATGCTTGCTTCTATCCTTGAGAACTCACCTTTCATAAACATTCCCCACCCACCCCCACATTTTCATCCTATTAAAAAGTAGTTTAGACCCGGACACTCTTCTCTATATGCCTCTGTATATAACAGGAGAAAGCTTTTCTTTTTAAGTGATGGCTTTTAGTTGATCATGTGAACGAATGAAGAGCACGAAGCGTTCCTGTTACTCATGGAGGGATAAGATAAGATAACCTTTATTATCATTTTTTTACTGTGGGCACAACCAAAAATGAAATTTAGTTGCCCGCTCTCAGAGTGAAACACATACATGACACACACCTAAACATACCATATACAACATGTGTATAGACCCACACCCCTACATATACATAACAAATAAATATTAAATACTGTCCACCTTGAACATATAACGGAAGGAGGAAGCTTGAGAGTTCACAAAGTTAATGCTGTATGGAATGAAACTCTGGCTGAATCTGGATGTTCTGCTATGGAGGGAGGGTTGCACCATAGGTATAGACCCATTAGGCTACACACTTTCAGTAGAAGCAATGTTACCCAAAGCACAGAGAAGGATCAATAGTAAGACAAAGACATGAAAGGTCTAAGGCAAGAAAAGGAAACATAGCTAAAACTACTTTTTTGGTTTGTCCCTTCAAATCATTCTTGACTGCTGGTGACTGCCTGGTTCACTCCCTGCAGTTTTTTTGGCAAGATTTCTGGAAATGGCTTATCCTGTTTTCCTTAGTTTCCTGTTTCTAAGGGCTAAGAGAGGACTGGCCCAAGATCACCAAGCTGGGCTCATGCCTAAGGTTTGACTTAAACTCAAGGGTCTCCTAGTTTCTTGTCTGGTGCCTTAACCACTAGACCAGGGGTCTTCAAACCTGGCCCTTTTATGATTTGTGGACTTCAACTCCCAGAATTCCTCAGCCAGCGTGCCTGGTTGAGGAATTCTGGGAGTTGAAGTCTACAAGTCATAAAAGGGCCGAGTTTGAAGACCCCTGCACTATACCCAACTGGCTCTCTGAAACCAGTTTATGTCAACACAATTCATGATGCTTCATATCTTTCTATTCTTGCAAACCATCCTTGCTTGTCCCATGTTGATATGTGGATTCATTCCTTGTCCTTTAAAAAAAGAACTTCTCAACTCTCTTCCTGAGGATCTCATCATTTCTGTCTTCATCTTCACCATCTTCACCATCCTTCAAATGCATCTTTTTCTTCCTCATATATCTTTCCAAGAAAACTTCAACCCAATCAGGCTTCCCTTGCTTAGACAATAAGAGTTGTACTGTTCCAAACACAAAGATGACAAACATCAAGCTATATTTTTGCTACCTGAACTTCAGCAGTGTGTTTGCTTTAATCTGGATATAAGCGTGGACTGAAAGTGTGCTTAGTGCAAACTAATCTGGAAATTACCCAGAGTAATTTTATAACATGGTTGAGGCTGCAAAGTGACATGAACTACCTTATCGAGGTAAATTAGGTTCTGTCTTTGTCTTATCAAAGAGAATCACTTTGGTTGTGGAGAATACTGGGCTTCTGTAAGGGGAATCAAAACTACTCTGCGTATTGTTTAGGCTCATTTCCAGACTTATTAGGGTAATGAAATGTTTTGATTGCCCTGGGTGATGACTTGGGTCAAGAAACATACAAAACTAGTAAGAGTCTAGCTAGAGGCTTGTTTGTTTTTGGAGGGTAACCATGAATTGGAAGCAAATCGTATTTAAATGATGAAAGCAATAAAACAGAGACTTTATTAGGAGTACTGTACTGTACATATACAATTCCTTTTGTCAAAATGATCAAACAGATTTGGTATATTACTGGGACAACCTTTAATGTGACCTCACATAATTCCCTTCAAGGAATCTTTATGTCTGCAAGGGGAAAAGGCTGCAATATTTACGTTGTTTATATAAAGAAGTGTAAAGCGTATGGCGACAAACACAAGCCTGGAATTTATATGCTGTTGGCAGTTTGGGGGCGGGGAGGGACATTCACATATGATACAGGTAGTCCTTGACTTACAACCACGACTGAACCCCAAATTTCTGTTAGTAAGCGAGGCAGTTGTTAAGTGAGTTTTGTCTGATTTTATGATCTTTGCAGACACAAGTTGTTAAGTGAATCACTGCAGTTGTTAAGTTAGTAATACAGCTGTTAAGTGAATCTGGCTTCCCCATTGATTTTACTTCTCAGAAGGTCACAAAAGCTGATCACATGACCCTGGGCACTGCAACCATCATAAATATGAGGCCGCTGTCAAGGGACTGTTTTTTGATCACGTGACCATGGGAACGCTGCAATAGCCATAAGTGTGAAAAGTGTTCATAAGGTTTTTTTCCCCCCAGTTCCATTGTAACTTAAACGGTCACTAAACCAACAGTTGTAAGTTCAGCCCTACCTGTACGTGATTATCCTCCCAAAGCCAGAGATTATTAAATGCTTGAACAGGCATTGCAAAGGTTGCGTAGAGAGAAGTCCTTGTTTTAATCAAGAACTGTAACTTCTTAAAGAATTGTGAGTGAAACAATGTTCCCTACATAGAAAAAGGGTACAACTTTCTCCCCATTGAAACTGGCCTTGAGGGTAGTGATGTTACTATTGATGTCAAAAAACACATTTCCCCCATCGTAATCCACAAACACAATAATCTTTCCAGAGACCCGTTTGCCAAATCCGTTCTTCAGGGACAAGGTTGAGATTTTCTTTTCTCTTCACAGACACCCCAGCTACCCCAACAGCCCATTCCCTTTGTGTGCCATACTTCACTTCGAAGTAATGTTTCCCTGATCGGAATCCAGGAGACCCCAGCACACAGGGGATGCTGTTGAATCTCTCTGGATTGTCTGGCACAACTTGGGGGACAGCCACATTTTTCACAGTCTTCTTGTTTGCTGACACAACCAGTGAGCTGAATGCTGTGTTTGAGTCAAACGTCACATCAGCTGCAAGAAGAGAGACAGAACATCACAAGGCAAACCAAATTCTGGGTGGGCAACACCACTGAAAACGTTATTACCCACCCACCCACCCACCCCAAATTAGAGAGCTAAGAAAGGCCACAAATATCCCTGCTTCATCTCCCATGTCTGCGTTCTTCATAAACCCAAGATTTTTTTTAAATAGTGCTTTATATAGAGATATAGTGCAATAAAGGTTGACCGTTTTTCCAATGATATTGAAAAACTCTGCTCCCCTAAGACAAGTCGAAAATTAAGTGATCGGTAAGAGGGGCACTGTGGCTTTTTAGAACACAAAATCCCTCACACTCGCCTCCCAAAAACACACTCACGAATAACAGAATAATGTATGTACGGTGTGTAATGTATAATAGTGTATGTTTAGTCTCACACACACATATATGTGTGATATGATCTGTGGTGGCGCAGTGGGTAGAATCGAGTATTGCAGGTGAACTCTGCCCACAGCCTGGAGTTCAAGTCTCACCGGCTCAAGCCCACAGCCTTCCGTCCTTCTGAGTTCGGTAAAATGAGGACCCAGATTGTTGGGGGAGGCATATATGCTGACTCTGTAGCCGCTTAGAGAGGGCTGTAAAGCACTGTGAAGCGGTATATAATATTGTTATTGCTATTGCTATTGCTATGCCACAACAAATGCTGTGATCTTCAGTTCTCCAATATGGTTCATTTTTACCACTAGCCTTGTTTTTTTTTAACAAGTAATTGATTACAGGCAGTTGGTTTTCAAGAACCATTGTCAAAAAAGCTTCTGACCACTCAAAAAGGACACTTGGGCTGCCTATAGTTCTGGGGTCACTGTTGCACTGTTTCTTGTATCTTGCTAGCCCATTTAAGAAACTATTCTGCACTCCAACTAGCAGAGGTTGAGAAACACTACTCTAAGATGTCAAAACCTAGCACAGGGGTAGGCAACCTTGGTTCTTTTATGACTCGTGGACTTCAACTCCCAGAATTCCTGAGCCAGCATGGCTCAGCTTGGAAACCTCTCCCCTTCCCCTCAGCATGGCTGGCTCAGGAATTCTGGGAGTTGAAGTCCATGAGTCATAAAAGAGCCAAGGTTGCCTACCCCTGGCCTAGCAGATCTTATGCATCTCAAGGCCACATTTGAGTCTGTTTATTTATTATTAGACTTCTATACCACCCATCTCGCCAAGGTGACTCTAGGCCAGAGGTCCCCAACCTTTGGGGCACCAGGGACCGGTTCCGTGGAGAGAGGTTTTTACGCAGACCAGAGGGGGCGTGGCTTCCCATGCTGCTTGCATCTCGCAGATTGGGGTTTCACTTGTTTGTGCGGACCGGTTGCTAGCATGCTGCAGCCCAGTATTGGTCCATGGACCGGGGGTTGGGGACCCATGCTCTAGGCAGCTTATGGTGTCAGAATAAAGGAAAATGCCCTCTCACAGCTCAAGCGGACTTAAAGTTGCCTCTTTTATAGATTACTGGGGATGAAAGCAAAATCATGGGAATACAGTACAAAAAAATGTTTCTGGGACAGGTTTGCACTATAGGTAGGTGCAAGCAGGGAAAGCCAATGTTTGTTAGTTAAATTTTACATGACTTTGTTGTCTCTTCCCTCCACAATTGATAGATAGATAGATAGATAGATAGATAGATAGATAGATAGATAGATAGATAGATAGATAGATAGATNAGACAGACAGACAGACAGACAGATAGATAGATATAGATTTATTTGATTTCTATAGCCACCCATCTCAACAAGTGACTCTGATGTTAGGAGTGCCCTTGTTGGATCATACGAAGGAGGCCAGGGAATATCTAGCGATCCAACTTAATTGCAATGAGATTGTCTGGCATTACTGTTCACCTGACCCAACTGATCTTGGAGAAGGACATCTACCTTTCTTCTCAATTAAGATGCTTTAAAATCTGGCAATACTTACCCTTCCCCCCCCGCCCACCAATCTTATTTAACCCATCTATTACCTTTTTTCCATATCCCAGGGGGTAAAGCTAGAGCTTTTCCACCATTTTCCTGGTCAGCAAAAAAGCATAGTGTGAACAGGAGTATGTAACAGAGTCCTAAATGTGGACAGAGCACAAAGGCAAGAATATGTAAGGCATGTTTATATTGTCTTATAGATGATAAAGTTTGATTGACAGAAAAAACTGGGTGTAATTTATCCCTTGTTGTCACATGTAGTGTGCAGATAGTCCTCAACTTGCCATGGATTCTGAAAAAGCTACTTACGACATGGATTTGAAGTTCCAGCATTGAGATCCATATCCCCGCTCAGATCCACAATCCTGCCCATGGTCATATGAGTGCATTTTGAGTGCTGGATAACCAGCCTGAATTTATGACCTTTTGCCATGTCCCGTGGTCACATGACCACAATTTATGGCATTTTTAACAAAAACCAGCATGTATGTCCAGGTTCCAGCAAAAAAAAACCCCTCCCCTTAACAAACAATGGGTTTGCTTAACAGCTGTGGCATTTGGTTAACAACCGTGGATTTCTTTTTAAATCCACCACATATACCTTATGATTGCTGCAATAAAGGTTGCAAAATTGAGTATAGTCATGTGACGATCCACTTCACGACCGTCAGGACTTACAATTGAAATTGTGGGCTCAATCATGGGCAGGATTACCTGTAATATTTTGCACATCTTGGAAATGTTCTGACTTTTGTTTCCTGGTTAGCCAAATATATTGTTCTGTTTGGTTTGTTTGGAAAAAAGAGATTTGGAGAAGACAGACTGGCTGATAAATACACAGTGGGATGTATTTCCTTTTCCTTCCTAAGATAGATCTGTCTTTCCCAGCAATCTACAGGGATCAAGCCTTCGCTAATACACGAACAAAATATGACAAAAAGTATATGACTCAGTGATGACCAAAGCAGAAAAAACGTTTTGCTACATATAAAGACATTATCTTTATATTTTTATCCCACCTTTTTAAAAAATATATATACTTGAAGGCAGCAAACATACCTAATGGAATAAGAATGTTTGATCAGACTGGGGAAAAGTGTGCCTCATATGATCAAAGGGGCACACTGGAGTTTATTTTTGCACAAAAGTGAGCTGAAAGTGTTGATAGAGCAAAAACAAACCACAACCTTTTTCTTTACCTGTGAGCTTCCACGGGACTTTCTTTGTTTGTAGGAAGTTCAGACTAAATTGGAACCCAGCAGAAGGAGACATGATCGTTATAAGCTCTCGTTTCCTACAGAAGGGAGAAAAGAAGTACTGTAAATGATAAAACGGATTTAGGACTTAGTTCAAGTGAATCCAGAGCATGCCGTACAATGTCATCATTTTTTATTCTAAAGTTTTGCTGTGAATGATCTGACACAGTTCATTCCCAGATTTGGCAGATGACCAACAAACAAAATTTTGAAGACTTTTGTGAATTACGAAAGGATTGAAATTCAAAACTGTCCTTCTGTTTTGCAATGGGTTGGTTGAACACCCAAGCAACGTTTCAGGAAGGATTGCAGCACAGGTTTTTCATAGAAGGACATGCAAAGGGTTGCACAATTCCACACAACAGCTTCCAAAAGACCTTGTGTAGTCTCCTGCTAGAATTGTATTGGCTTGAGTTTAGACAGTCCCCCCCCCCCCGTTTAAGAACTTTTGACTTTTAAAGACAACCCCTAGATATTAATGGGCTTGCCTGTTTCAAAATGGCGGACGACTGATTTGTTACAGTACTTAAACAGCAGATGGCTAACTGTTAACATGATGTAACACAAAATGGCAGATGACATTCTCCTTCCTTGAGCCCACAAACAGTTGAAGCTATGCAATGCTTTCGTGAACATCATAAAGTAGTGTGTCTGTGTTTTTTAGTGCAATATACAGCCTGTTTTCAGTGGTTTGTGGAAACATAGTGCAGCTTCAGCAGTTTGACAGGTCTTGGAAGGCGAATGCCTTTGGCCGCTTTAAGTTGGATCATTTTGAGTTCAGGAAAGTGAGAGATTGAATTCCAGTAGGTTCTCTTTGGATTGGGTTTTCCTTGCTGGAAGTCTGTTTTATAAATTCTAATTAGCATTTCCTCATTTCTCCACTTTTTTTTAGGGGAAAGTAATGAATATGCCAGTAGAAGAAAAACAAGGGGGAAAATTGGCATTGCTCAGAGTTTATTTTAATCACTCAAAATTTAAGCCGCAACTTGTGACTACCAGTCTCACGTTCCCAATTCCACTATCCCAACTTGCTGATGACTACTGCTTCTACAGATAGTTCTCAACTTACAACCACAATTGGGATCGGAATTTCAGTCACTAAGCAATGCACTTGCTAAGCAAATCATCATGTGACTGGACCCAATTTTATGATCAGTTTTACTGTAGTCATTAAGTAAATCTCAGTTTTCAAGCAAATTATATGGCCATTAAATGAATCACACAGTCATTAGGCAAACCTAGCTTAGTAGTAGTAGTAGTAGTAGTAGTAGTAGTAGTAGTAGTAGTAGTAGTAGTAGTAATAATAATAATAATAATAATAATAATAATAATAATAATAATAATAATAATAATAATAATAATAATAAATGGAGGAAATACCATAAAGGCAATCAATCCCTGGGCAAGCTGGTTGCCAAATGCCCAAATTTCAATTACCTGACCACGGGTGGTGTGGCAGTCATAACTTCAAGGATGGGTCATGTCACTTTTTTTAGTTCCAGCATAACTTCAAACCATTGTTAAATGAATGGTCATAAGTTGAGGTCTACCTTTATTCAAATTTTCTCTTGAATAATTTTTCCTTCCGGAGATGAGATAAAACTGTTATGCAGGATCATGCCTGAAAATGACATGGACTTTATACACCAACAGCTGTTGCTGAAGGAATTAGTCAGTGATGATCTCTCCAAGGCTCGCTTCACAAACAAGTAGTCGAGTTGATGGGCAAATGAATAATGCTCTAGCCTTTTTCTTCGACATGTTTCTCTAGGAATTAATAAGGTAAAAAGGCAGAAATGCTCCCCCCTTACTTCAAAAAATTGAATTGTGATAAAATGCAGCGCTTTGTGTGTCAACATAAAGCATAAAGTTTTTTGAGCCCTTAGAAAATAAAAGATCCTTTCCACATTCTATCTCCAGTCCAAGATATTACGGGATTCACAGGCAAGGGTAAGTAATCAGCATTTCTGGAAAAAAGCTGCATTGTAAAATCTTACCTTCTTTTCAATTGTGAGCCCTGGAGACTGTGACTTCTCTGGATCAAATGTTGTCAGCCCCTTCACTGAAGTCTCTTAAATACTTTCTGTCAAGGATATGGTTTCCTGTTTCTCCTAACCTAACCTAACAGATAGCTTGTTCTGCAGCATTTTTCAATTGGGCATGCTGTATAGAAGGAAGAGGGGACCACAGGTTGGCTAACTGATCAGAGGTCTTAGATGATGCAATTCCAGGAGATGTTACATCTTCACCTCAGGTTTCATAATCTTGAACACAAGTTTAGCTCACAGGAAACAATTAAGAGTTCTGTGGCCCTTAAAGACTAATACCTAATTTTTTAGACAGTTAGAACAATTAAGGAGAGAAGCAACCTAGAACTAAGGAGAAACTTCCTGACGGTTAGAACAATTAACCAATGGAACAACCTGCCTCCAGAAGCGGTGAATGCTCCAACACTGGAAGTTTTTAAGAAGAGACTGGACAGCTATTTGTCCGAAATGGTATAGGGTTTCTTGCCTGAGCAGGGGGTTGGACTCGATGACCTCCAAGGTCCCTTCCAACTTTTTATTATTATTATTATTATTATTATTATTATTATTATTATTATTATTATTATTATTATCATCATCATCATCATCATCATCATCATCATCATCATCATCATCATCATTATCATTATCAGTGGAACAACCTGCCTCCATAAGTTGTGAATGCTCCAACGCTGGAAGTTTTTAAGAAGAGACTGGACAGCCACTTGTTTGAAATGGTATAGGGTTTCCTGCCTGAGCAGGGGGTTGAACTAGATCACCTCCAAGGTCCCTTCCAATATTATTATTATTATTGTTATTGTTATTGTTATTGTTATGTCCAGTAGAATTGTTCTTCAGTTCAAAACTTTAAAAGAGGATTTCCAGTTGGTTCCCATTCAGAAAACACACCAAGCGTCTTGGCTATTTATTCAGTAATTAGTTTAAGAAACAACATTGTATGCAACAGCCAAAACACCAATTATCAGCCGCATTCTCTAGCCATGAAGCAAGCAAGAATAATCATTAACAGCGAACAATACAACTTGTTCGGAGGGTGTGTACTCATTCGGTTTAAAGAACTCAAAGCCTTACCCGTCAGCTCTTTGGAGAGATGGGTGAAGCTGAAAAGGGTGACGTGCACCTCCAACTTCCATAGGAAACAATTGGATCCCATTCTGAGTTGCCATGTTAAGATGCCTGCACCCCATTAGCAGAATTGTGCAGGAAAATGATTCAGGCAGCATGTTGTTGTTGTTGTTGTCATCACCATCATCATCATCTATATTACAATCTATTATAGTCTAAGACACTGTTTCTCAAGCTTGGCAATTTCTAGTTGCATAGATACTAACTGCCAGAATTCCCCAACCATAATGGTCATCGCTGAGAATCTGGAGATGAATTCTGCAGATAAGGAAATTGTCCAGGTTGAAACTCTGATTTGAGTATAGATCTATTCTGGAGAATCAACAACTACAGGACTCAGGAGAAGTCTGTCTGAGAAAATGGTTATGACTGATAAACGCTTGGTTGATTCATGTTTGTTTCCCTTCTACATCTTTATCCTGCTTTCTCTTCTCCTTGAGGTGGAACTCATAGAGCCTTGCAAGCTACAATGCTGTGTTCATCTGGATCCCCTACAACAAGTGTTGCAATAGAATAGAATAGAATAGAATAGAATAGAATAGAATAGAATAGAATAGAATAGAATAGAATAGAATAGAATAGAATAGAATAGAAGTTGGAAGGGACCTTGGGGGTCTTCTAGTCCAGCCTCCTGCTAAAGCAGGAGAATCTATACCATCTCAGGCAGGTGAATGTCCAGCCTCCTCTTAAAACTCTCCAGTGATGGGGCGCCCACGATTTCTGGGGGTAAGCTGTTCCACTGGTTGATCGTCCTCACTGTCAGGAAGTTTCTCCTTAATTCCAGGTTGCTTCTCTCTTTGATCAGTTTCCAACCATTGTTTCTCGTCCTTCCTTATTGCATACTCTGCAATGAATCATCAATTCTGCCAACATAGGGAGAGAGAGACTGCTGAGAAATAATGTGGTTAAAGATTTTTTTAAAAAAATGCATGATCCTAGATAGGACATAGCCCAAACTGGTCCTTATCTAAATTGGCATCCTGAAGAGGAGCAGCAGGGTGTGTGTGTGTGTTTGAGTAGCATAGCTAACTAGAGAGAGTGTGACAAATTCCTGTTTTTTCTGCCTGGCATAATAGTGCCCCCTATATAGGAAGACCAAGCATCCTGATTAAGAACCCCAGACTTTTCTTTCACTATTGTCATGTATGAATGACAAAAGTGGTTTATGGTCCTCTGATACTGCCGACCATTAGACACTCATCCCCATCTTCTGAAAACAACCAACAAAGTTGGAATAACTGAGTTGGTGGCATGTTGCAACTGCCATACCAGGGAGTGATGAAAGTCAATGAAAAGAGTTGTTAAAAACTTACTGCACCTGGAAAGCTCTCCAGTTCCTTCCACAGCTTCCTTGTAAAACTTGGGCCTTTTCAGAAAAACTTTATGAGATATATAAAAGGGAGCAACCTGGCAAAAGAAAAGTTGAATTCTATCTATGAATGGCTTTAGGCATGTGGTCAATTCAACAGATGTTTCAGGAGCTCTATGACAAAATATCCTAGAGCAGGGGTAGGCAACCTTGGCTCTTTTATGACTGGTGGACTTCAACTCCCAGAATTCCTGAGTCAGCCATGCTGAGGGGAAAGGGAGAAGTTTCCAAGCTGAGCCATGCTGGCTCAGGAATTCTAGGAGTTGAAGTCCACGAGTCATGAAGGGGCCATAGTTTCCCCCATGCTGACTCAGGAATTCTGGGAGTTGAAGTCCACGAGTCATAAAAGAGCCAAGGTTGCCTACCCCTGTCCTAGAGAATAAAAACAGGGCATATATGTTTATATAAATGTTTCAATTTATTATTTAAAAACAGGATCTATTTATTTATTTACCATTTATATAGAGCCAGTTTGGTCTAGTGCAGGGGTCTTCAAACTTGGCAACTTTAAGACTTGTGGACTTCAATTGGGGAATTCTGGGAGTTGAAGTCCACAAGTCTTAAAGTTGCCAAGTTTGAAGACCCTGATCTAATGGTTAATGCACTAGCCTATAAAGTAGAGGACCATGAGTTCCAGTTCTGCCTCAGCCGTGACAGCCAGCTGGGTGACTTTGGTCCAATTACTCTCTCTCAACCCAATCCACCTTACAGGGTTGTTGTGGAGACAATAGGAGGAAAAAGGTGGGTTGAATATGTTCAGCACTTTATTTGTAAAATAATAAAGGTGGGATACAAATAAATAAATATAGCCAAGAAACAGGGCCTTTAACACACTCCTGCTGGCTGGAGAATTCTGGGAACTGACGTCCACACATCTTAAAGTTTCCAAGACTGAGAAACACTGCTGTGGCATGATAATTGCCTACGGTATTGTTTCCAGTGACTCTGGAAAGTTCTTTGTCCTTTTAATAGACATGTTGATAATATAAATTCCTGCCTGTTGTCCATGTCTCTCTCCCCTGCTTTTGCCTGCTCCTTATCCCTCGTTCACCAGTTAATGTTTTGATTTGGTGGATGTTTTAAAAAGAGACATTAAGTTATAATATTGAGTATGGCTTGTTTGCGAGATATAGATCCTCACTGGGAGTATATTGGGAGCAAACTAAACTGGAAATTACTCACAGCCATTTTCCATGCTGAAAAATCGTTTGTAAAGCAAAGGAAGCCAGCAAACAAAAGATTGAAGCTGAGGGCAGCCAGAAAGTGAAGGCAGATCGTGGATTATGGAAATTAACAGGGGCCCAAGATTGAAATTAACAGGGGCCCAAGATTGAAATGTTGGCTTAAGTAGGAAATGCACAGAGATTTTGAGCCTATAACATTTGCTTTTCTCAGAGGGCTAACTTGAGAATAAATTGGAACAATGCACTGTCATGCAGTCCTTTCTCCAGAAATAGCGATGGGGCTTCACTAGAGCAGGGCTTTTCAATCTTTTCACCCATTGTACCACTTTTAGGATATGGCAATATCCGAATACCATCAGTCGCCTAGCAAGGTGTCAAAAACTTGATGACAAAAAAAAAAAGGAAAAAAGTGATAAAGTACAGGTAGTCCTCGACTTACAACAGTTCGCTTGGTGACTGTTTGAAGTTACAATGGCACTGAAAAAAGTGCCCCCCAAGCCATAGCCGAGCAAGACACCTGCCTACCCACCGGCGGCGCTCTTCCTCCTGTCCGAGGTTTCCATTGTTGTGAGCATTTCTGTTGAGGATTGGCAGTGGGGGTGGGGTGGGGGGGGTGTTTGGTTTTTATTCCCCCCGTCTGCTGAGTGGTTGCAGCAGGTTTTGGTCACTTCACATGACCCTGGGACACTGTGACCGTCATAAATATGAATCAGTTGCCAAGCATTTGAATATAAATCACAAGACCCTGGAGATGCTGCAACATTTCAGCTGATCGGCGCTTCTTCTGGTCTCAGCAGAAGCTCCAGGATCAGCGCTGAGCTCCAGCTGGGGCCTGGCGCTGATCCTGGTGCTTCCACTGAGCCCTGACAGCCCTGCAGCTCCAGCCATCTCTCGCTCAGGCTTGTGCCACCGATTCAGCTCATTCCCCTTCCCCACTACCACTTTTCTAGGATGGTCGCATACCACCTGCCAGGTGCCAATGTACCACAGGTGGTACCCGTACCACTGGTTGAAAAGCCCTGCACTAGAGAAGAACAATTATGTGGTTCTTTTAGCCTTTTCAGAAGGACGGGACAGGACTATGGTTTGATGAAAGAGTCCCTACTTTGGGTAGTAAAAGTCTCTAGCTTGATGCCTGGTCACTAGTAAAAACGTTGCTCCCAGCCAAATAATATAAGCAACCGCCTGAACATATGGTACCCTGCCTATATTACTTCATGCTTAGGTAGTTGCTTATATGAAGTCCTTTCAATTGAGAAGTAATTTGGTTCCTCCTGCAAAAACACACAAACACGCACACACAAAAACCCAGGCAACCTCATAATCATCACCTTCCCACACTACAGATCCCTAAAACTATCTCACTGTTGATGCTGCTGCAACATCTGTAAACATTATGGCTGGACTGCCTGTTGGTGATTAGCTGAAGATGACGTTGGTTTAAAACCTGGCCTCTTTCCCATTTTGTTGTGCCTTCTGCTGTCTACTGATAATGCGATGAGGAGCACAAGAGAAGTAGCTTAACAAGGAGATTTTGACAAATGAGATCTTTAAAGACAAGTTCCTCCCTCTTTGCTCCACCATCCCCAAGACCCCCTTCGAGGCAAGCGTGGGCTGGTTGGCATCTGCCTGTGCAAAAGAGTATTTGGATCACCTCCCCTTCCTCTTATCTTTCTATTGCTGATTGTCAATGGAGGGGGGAAAAAACGCTCCTATGGTGAGGGGGAAACTTGTGCAGTTTACTTTTGTTCTGAGGAAATGCAACTTGGACATGATCCAAGGACTGCCCATCAATAAGGTAAGAGTAATGACTACAACTGTTGATTTTGCAATACTAAATGTGTATCTGCAATTATTTTAACACATACACGTGTTCGTTGGATTCAGTTTGTCTTCCACGTGAGAATATTTTGTCTCACTGGTTGTCAGACTTCAGTCCTCATGCATTGAGGTATTTATGGCCATTTTTCAAAAGTTGAATAGCTAAGCTTAGAGTCTGCCTGAAAAAGAGTAACAGTTGCTTAACATTTCTATCTAGTTTTACACTTTTTAATTTTTTAACTATTTTCTAACAACGAGGAGGAAAAGATTGTATGCTAGTCTGCTGCGATCCCAAACCATAACTAAGTACCGTAACATTTCCACTAACAAATTTAATTGAAAATTCACATTATCCAGCAACTTGTGCCTAGACCAGCCATTAAAAACCCTTTACCAGCATTCTGAGTCAGGCAATGCTATGGATACATATAAAGAGAAACAGAATCATACTAACAAAATACAATACTAACAATATTTCTTTTTCACTTCTCTTCTATCAGTTTCTTACCTGTCTTGAATACCAGAACAAGAAAACAAGGGAAGTGAAAACCTTCAGTTGTGTTTCCAAAATGAGTTCTTTCCTGTTTACGTTCATCACTTTCTTAGTTGTTCTACCTATTATCAATGGCAATCCAAGTAAGAACCTTGTGTGTTACTGTACTTTCTAAGAAATATAATTGCTTTTATGTATTATGTATTAAGAAGCATCACACACACACAAACACACACACACAGAGAGAGAGAGAGAGAGAGAGAGAGAGAGAGAGAGAGAGAGAGAGAGGGAGGGAGGGAGGGAGGGAGAGAAAGAGAGAGACAGAGGGAGAGAGGGAGGGAGGGAGAGAGAGAGATTAAACATAATGTCCTCCTTAAACCTCACATTAAAACAAAGAAACTGTGTGGTGTAATAGTTAAAGTGTTGGAGTGGCATTGGAGACACCCAGATTCCAGTCTATCTTTAACCATGGGGGCTCAAATGGGCTGAAGATACAATAGCTTTGCTTCCTTGAGTTCCTGAATGAAAGATGGCAAAGATGGGTGCCATATATAAGAAATAAATAAATAAATAAATAAATATAATATTATGAAAATGCAGAAGCAATATAATGAATCAACATGGGTAACAAATGCCATTATATGTTTATTGGGGGTTGTATTAATATCAGTCTAATGAAAGAGGGAAGGATGGATGACCTGCTAAGAGAGACGTTAGAAAATGATAAACTAACATGCAAAATTAGACCTTTGGTCCATCTAGCTTGGTACTGAGTTCTTTTGCACCAGAGGTGCAAATCCGTTGATAGGGTTAGGCCTCGCACACCCCTCTCCAGTTCTTACTATTACTATTGAATGTGCATCGTGCTGTGCCCCTGCTCAATTTTGGAGGAATTATGTGTATATGGAAATATACTACAGTGATCATTATCTGTGGTGATTGGCATTCAGCCTATCTGGAAATGCTAAATATTCCGTTTGGTTTTTCATATGTGCAAAGCAAATATTGCATTATGAGCTATCCCAACCACATCCCCATTTTTTTCCCCTCTATCTGGTTTTGAGTTGAATGATTACCCAACAGAAACCCAACCGACAGTATTCAAATGGAGGGTTACTATTTCAGGCAAACATCCATTGCCTGACATGTTTTGAGGTTGTAGATGAGCTGTCTGTATGGTGTTACTCCTTCAGTCGATTTGGCCATTTGTAATGATTATGCACTTGGTACATTTCACAGTGCAGCTGACATTGCTTGGACCACGTCACCCAGTCACTGCCTCTCTGAGGGAGACTATTGTGCTACACTGTCATCTGTCCCCCAGAACAAATGTCCAGAATATGGAGATTACTTGGTTCCGCTCCCAAAATTCTTCATATATACACCTTTATCGCAGTGGCAAAGATCATCTGGAACAGCAGCAGCCGGAATACCAAGGAAGAACAGAATTTTTAAAAGATGGCATTGGGGAGGGAAAGATTGGGCTGAAAATTTTTAATATTAGCCTGTTTGATGAGGGACACTACCACTGCTCTGTTAAGAATGGGAGTTTCCAACAGGAAGCCACATTAGATATGAAAGTGACTGGTAAGTAAGGGGCAAATATTTTTTAATAGAAATGTGTAATTGAAGTTGGCTCTAAAACCTCTGCAGTCATCAGCCTTCCGACATGTTCTTAGATTGTGAGAAAATCAGAGCTATTAAGGTTTCTTCTCCCAAAAACTTTCAATCTTCTTATTCAGTTTTGATTGATGTTTAGACAGAATAAGAGTTACCATAATGTCAAGGTGGATAATCATTTTTCTTCCACTGGCCATTTATTTCTATTTCACTTCTTTGAAAGGGGGCCCAGAAAGTATGGTTGATGAAACACTTTTCAATGTCAGCATGTAATAAAAAAGCAAGCCCCAAAAAATTGAATTTTCCAGATGCTTGAGGGGAAAAGGGAAGGGGGGCTAAATCATGGCACCAAAAATTGCCATTTTGCTACCAATTTTAGACTCCGGACATACACAGGTCTGGGGTGCTGTGAAATGTGGGAAATCAGCAGTTCAAATGAATATAAAGGTTTATTGCAAGCTTATGTTCTCTGTAAGAATCTGAACTACTAACAGTTGAAGCAAATAGGTGGTAGATAAGAGTCAGAGGAATTCAAGGTGGGTTGGACTTAGATCTCTAGTGGGCACGAAGAGACTCAAGACTGATTATTTTTTTTTATTATTATTTAAATTTATATCCCGCCCTTCTCCTTGCGGACTCAGGGCGGCTGACAATCGATTAAAAAACACCAACAACAATCACAGAATTAAAATTAATTAAAAAGAGATATTTAAATATTGTCTAATTTAAAATATGATTAAAACCCCTCTAAAAATTACCCTAGGCCAGTCCTGCTTGTTGGAATAGCCATGTC